CCAGGTTCGTCCTGGGTTCCACTTCGGGTTCTACCTCAGCCTCCGCTTCCTCTGGTTCTTCTTCGGGGATCGGTTCCAAATCGATGTCCATTGGATTGTCTTCAGCTTGTGACACTTCGGGCTCGGGTTCATGCTCAGCCTCTGAAGATCCCTGAGCTGCGGCCGCTGATTGCAAACCCGACTGAGCTAAACTAGTACCCACACTAGTCAACTCTCCGTCTATCGGGGGTACGGCCGTCGGATCCCAATCCCTAACCAAATCAAACGGAACGTCAAAACCCCTAACGGGCCCGAACTCATCCCCGGCTTGATCCCGGAAGAACTAGGCAGTGTACTTCTGTTCCTCCCACAGGGTAAACCTATATCTACAAAAACGGTAGTAGTGTGCCTAATCCAGGTCATTCCATCTCCCATTGGAAACTCTGCAATGTCCAACTCGGAGTGCACGGGTACCCCAAAACGCTCTGGTGGCTGCGGTGGAGGATTCATGGCTCCTGTCGGGGTTCTGAAAATATTGGTTGAAACAACCATGAGAACACTTCTCAGCAAGTTCACCCCTAAACCCCACCTAGGCTATCACGTACCTCCAGACAATCACCCAAACACACATTCGCACACATACCATTATCACATAGCAGGCACATCAACACAATCGCAAGCATGCACGATTCTCATGCCATGCACTCATCCTGTTCTCATCATGTCTCATCCACATTCCTCGCCAGTGACCTGCGTACACGTACACGCCTCAGGTACACTGCGACCTCTTTTCACATCACTTCCGGGCCCGCGTAAACGTACACGCCTCAGGCCATGTTTCTTGCCCGCGTAAACGTACACGCCTCAGGCTCAACATCTACCACCTACTACGCAACCCGTGTTAAAGTACACGCCTCAGGCTGACAGTCTTCCGGTAATACCGGGCATCATCCCGCGTAAACATACATGCCTCAGGACGGCACAATTTCCACGATTTCACATACCGTACCACGTACCATTTTTCATGCTTTCACACGTGCAACAATCATTTGCCACATAACTGGTCAATCACACGTGACCCGTGCACGCCACAATTTTACACAAACCATGCTCACTCAGCATTCAGCACGGCCAATTTTAATAATTAAAACAATCTGGCCCAAGCGTGCACCCAACAAACATAATTAACTCAACCAATCATACAATCACACATTTAATTTCACCACCACAGTTTAATTATTTTCAAACGCACGTAAAACACAGAAATCATTATTTTTCTCCCACCAAACGACGCCAAATCGATTCCGGTCCTTCACGGGACTTTCTCACCATAAATTCTCGGTTCTAAAAATCCAACTCGCGTCCCGATTGGCCCATCACGGCCCCATGAACAGTAGACCGCAGCCACTGTTATTTTCTAATTTCCAATAAATATTGCCCGAATTAACTCCTAAGGCCCGCCACAAAATTTGCACTCCTAATTCATGCCATTCCGCACCTAACTTTTACCAGATTTCGTCCAAAAATCGCCTGTCGATACCCGAAGTCCTAAATTGGGTTTAGAGCGCGACTTACCCGCGTTCTAGACTATCGCGGCTAGAACAGAAAGCGGCGGCACTTAATCGGGAACGGCGGCGACGGTGTACGGCTCCCGGGTGGCGGCGATCGGCTTGGGTGGCGATGGCGCCGCTTGGGCGGTGGCCGGTGGGGCTCACGGCCAAAGGGAGGACCGAAAAGGAAGAGAGAGAGAACGGCGGGATGGGGGCAGCGTGAGGGGTGCGAGGCGGCGGGGCGGTGGCGCGGCGCGGCACGGCGATGATCCGAGCGGCGGCGCGGCGGTGATCGGCAAAGAGAGATAGAGAGAGAGAGTATACGGTAGGGAGGTTCACGTCCAAAAAGGGGGAGGATTCACGATGGAGAGGGGAGAAAGAAGAGAGAGAGGAGAGAGAGAAAGGGGGTCAAGGGCTAATTATCCAATTTTGACCATTTTTTTGGTAATTTACCAAAATACCCTTGCCCTTTAAAACATGCCCTTTAATAATTCTCAAGGGTAAAATGGTCCGATTCTCCGTTTCTCATCAAAATCAAGTTTTTCTGAAGGATTCGGGCACAACAAAAATTGCACGTTACAACCGCAACGTCGTCCTAACGTCCCGTTGTGACTTCCAAATTTTCCGGTGTCTGATTTGGGCTGAATTAAATAATTAAATTCTATTAAACGTAACTCGAGCGTTTCTCAAACTAACGGGCGGCTTGTTGGGGAAATTCGCTTATTCGACCCGTGACTGACACTAGATCGAGTCACGTGCAATTTATTCAGACCGTCACGACTTCGGTTGTCAATAAAATCGCGAGGATCAATTACTAGATCCGTGGGGTACGATCGTTCGGTATAGGTTCAGGATCATTCGTCAATTCATTTCGTGGTCCAGCGGTATCACCCGCGATCCACTACTATGATAGTGGCGAACTGATCCCTGACTACCCTTAGATCGGCCAACAGTGGCTCAAAATATCACCTCGACGATTTAATGGTCGAAAGTCAATCCACAATCGAATTTTCTTTAGTCGTACGAATTTAATTCCCCGATTAGCCTTTCCCTAATGGTTAGCATCCCAGGAATGATCAGTTCCGGGTGAGAACTAACTACGAGTACATTCATAAAACTCAGTATTTTATAAATCCCAAATGGACTATTTTTCAGGATGTCACAATGGTAAGTCTTGATCCTTCTCCCATAGCCACTCAAAAGGTGACGGGAAAAAGAATTTCTAGTGAGGTGGTCATTCAGTCGACACAAACAACCCCTCCAACAAACAAATTTTTTCATAAAACAATCTTCCAAAATATTTGCAATGTTGAAAATGGCTTTTATAATGAAGATCCATATCTTTTTGCCAAAAACTTGTTTTCTGAAAATTTTTATTATACTCCTCATGATATTTATAAAATAACAGAATTTTATGAGAAGATTTTGGAAGAAACAAAATCTGTTACCTTCCGACATTTTTCTGATAAGGGCCACGTAAATTACTCCACAGCCAGGATTCACAGGGTCATTCACCCTTCTCAGTGGAAACCTGACCCTTTATCCTTGAGAAAATTTGATATCAAAATGACTGAATCCCTTTCATACAGATCATACTTTTCATATTTTGACTATAAACAAGCCTGGTGGAACACCTTCTGGAGACAGAATGCCAACAATTCTCATACTTGGCTATTCTTCTTCGAAAACTTTGATATTAAATAAGTTCCATATTGGTTCATTCAGTGGTGAGAACATCTTGGTCCTACTGATGAAATTCTCCACCCAAAAGTCCAGCCCAGTTATGAAATATTTCTCAGCAAATTCATTCCCCTTCCATTTGAGAAAAATTTCCCCAAACTTTTGCTATTTTTCTATCACTTTGGAATATCTTGGGTTCTTGGTTGGCATTTTGATTACCGAAAATCCAATGACACTGGTATCCCCATCTTAATAAGGAGATACAAAGTTAAGTGGTGGAACGGGTTTAAATTCTTCAATAGAATTACTGAACAAGCCATTCACAAATGGCTCATTTCTAGAGGACTGGAACCTATAAAATCCGATGACATAACTCCATTCCTACATGATAAGGGGTTTGTATTGTCCAAATTAGCATCTGCTAAATCCCATCAGCAATTAGCAGGAATGCCAAAACAAGCCCTTTCCCAAATTGAAGATTCCAGTTCTTCTCACTCTCATCACAGTGGTAATTCCAACGAGGATGATTGTTATGGCATTCCAGGAATATCACCCATTCCCGCAAATTTGGCAAGTGTGAAGGATGAAGACGAAGAAGAGGAACCAGAGCCACTGGAAGATCTCTCAAGATTCTCCTAGGTGAAAGGTGCCGAAATACTCCTTATTTTCATAGTCTGTCATAATTTCTAAGCCGAAAGGAGTCTGTCAGTTTCTATTGCTTTCATAATTGATCACATGTAACACTGTGCACTTACTGCTATAGTACTACCCATGAGACATTTCTACAGGAGACGAGTCTGCCTATATAATCAGACCTCACTCCTCTTTTCTTTCAGAATTCCATATCTCTCAAAACCTCTCCAGTTTCTCAAGATCTCTTCAATCTTTCCTCGAAGAAATAAGAGATCATTCATCTCAAAACCTTTCCATATCTCTTTCATAACCAGTAAGTTTCATTGCTTCCTGGAATTTCTATAACATCCCTGAATCACCTTATATTCCAGATCTTGCTTATGATCTGAGAATACAAAGGCTTTTTATACACTTTCGTATATATAAGTTGCAAAGATAATAAAAAAGAAGCCAAGTCACCACAAGAAAGAAGGTCGAACACTTGATGTGATTTTCTTCAAAAGCATGATGCAAATGACAGAGGACTTGGTTAAGAGAGAAAAGAGCTGATCTTCTGACCGGGCTCGTTTTGCGCGTCAGATGTTGGTCATTCCCGCATATTGACAGGGGAATACAGATCCCGGAAAGGATGGCATTTCATTCCCGGTCCCTGGTAATATGTGCTGCCACATAACCGGATCGATCGTAATTAATGACTCATTCTCGTTCCCTTCCTAGACTTCCCTTACCAAACAAGGTCTAACGTCGCCTCAGGTTGCGCAGAGAGAGAGAGAGAGAGAGAGAGAGAGAGAGAGAGAGAGAGAGAGAGAGAGAGAGAGAGAGAGAGGTTATGGGGTCCTCGCATTTTGAGGTGACTAGACAAGGTCCAAGGATCTCTATCGTTTTGCAATGCGTTGTGACTTTCTATCTGGTACCTATCCTCATGGATGGATCTTCTGTATATGTAGTGTGGAGACGACGAAGCGTCATTTATGCTCCTTAAAGCCAAAAAAAAAGATATATAATAAGGGAAATGAAGAAAACACAAACAACAACCATAAAGCCTAATACTACATGCGGAGCATAATTTTGTATGTCAACGTGCGCAAACAAACATAGATCAAGACAGCCTCATATTACCTGTCACCTTCCCCTCATCTCTTCCCCTCCCCCCTCCTCCCCACCCCCCACAAAAAAAGCACTCCTTCAATCTCGTTGTGGCAGTTTCTTGTTGCGTTATTGATGAAATTAGCAGCAGCAGCCGACGACCGCCACCATGGAAGTTGGTCCCCCGACGACGGCCCCACGGAAAGTAATGGTGGTCGCAGACCCCACCCACGAGTCTGCTGCAGCGCTCCAATACACCCTGTCACATGGCGTGGTCGAACGTGATGAGCTGATCCTCCTCCATGTCGAAAACCCTAGTTCGTGGAGGACCACGCTCTCGACGCTCTTCAAGAGGCCGAGCTATGTGGCCACAGGGAATAGCCAAAGGGGCAGCAGTCGCGGGGCATCCATGGATCAGAATGTACACGGCGGTGACGGTGGCGGAGCTGGGGGATTGGAGGTGGATTTTCTTGAAGAAATGAAGCATGCGTGCGAGGTGGTGCAACCGAACATTCGGGTGCGCACAGCAAGAGTAGAACTGGAAGGTAATAAGGATAAGGCTTCAGCTATTCTCTCACAATGCACGTCACATGAGATCGACGTGCTCATCGTTGGGCAGCGCCGGAGTTTATCCACAGCAATTTTGGGGTAAGATCAGTTGTCTCTCTCTTTCGGACATGTTATTGTTAGGGTACTTTCAAGATTGAGCAGATACCGAGACGATTTTGATGATGATAATGTGCAATTTGCGTGTGCTCATACCTTCTTTACAATTTCATATTGAGTTTGGTTAAGGACATGAATTCCGATTTCTTTTAGGCTCTTGTTGCATGTTAATTAGACCTTTTCTATGGAGTCATTGACCCATTGCTCTTTCAAACCATATTTCCAAAAGCTGATGCAATGTTATCGTGAAGTATGAAGATTCTTGCATCAATATGTCCGTTTCACACATTCAGTGATTGGAAAAGCCATCCACTAGTTGTTAAAACAATTTATTGTATTGTACTTTACCTCTTGAGTCTGTTGCATTATTGCAATTTATTAGAAGAAATGATCTTTACAGCTAGGGTTAAATTTATTGTGTGATTTCTGAGGTAGAAAGTGCAATGGATATTTAGTCGATCTAGTAAACGTCATGACTCAAAAAGAGTTTAATCAGGGCAAATATCGCTTTCAGATTTAAATAAGCTGTTCTGCCTCAAATTGCAATTGGAGTTTGCTGTCTGAGTAATTGATCCTGTTTTATCTATAAGATAAACAACTTAAGCTCATATACTTCTTTTACAACACGGGTTATACCCTTTACTCGAATAATCCCAACAGACGCACGCAAACTGTTTAGCCATAGATAGAAAGATAATGCTTATGTATTAAATATGTTCTATGCAAGACGTCACGACCGTAATGGAACAACAATGTGGAGCTCATACGTATCCAAGCTCCTTGTTCTTTTTGTGTTTGTTTTTCACTTCATTTCTCTTGATGTGGACCCACTGGGTTAATAAATTCACATTCAGAGCTTAATTCATCTTTAAAGATTCTGGCTCATTAATAATTGCATAAATTTCATCTCTATGTCTGCAAAATCCACATGCTTTGAACATTCAAATGCAAGCACAAGATACGTCGAGCTTATCGCTAAAGATGTGATTACCAGTGATGTCATTATTATGGTCCCTGCTGTTATTGCTTGTTCTGTTGCCCTTTGAAGCTCCTCTAATTCAAACAGATGTAGGAGACGCGGAGGGTCAATGAGAGGCACCAGAATGACAGACATGGCAGAGTATTTGATAGAGAACAGCAAGTGCACCTGTGTTGCGGTTCAAAAGAAGGGTCAAAATGGAGGTTACCTTCTCAACACCAAGACATACAGAAACTTCTGGCTCTTGGCATGATGATGATGACCCACCTGTGCTTTTGTGTTCACAAAGTGTTTCTTGCTTCAACCAAATGATCGCATTCAAGAGCCTAAGAAACCACAATTCAAGCCTTCCAACCCAAATCTGCCTTGTAGCCCCTTGAGCTGAAAGGAAATCTTTTTTGGCATTTCAGTGGAGATCAGAAATGTTAGAGCAATCTCCAAACAACTTCCTTGTAGTAGTGAAAACTGTGTGAAATTGTGTATTTCTCCGCCTGATTCCACCACCTCATTACTGCTGTAAATACCAGAGACATGGCTGGCTCCTAGGGAACCAGTCTTTTTAATAAAGAAAACCGCAGATTTTCTTTCTTTTGATCATACGCTCTCACGGAGGAATTTGTCGCTGGAAAGAAATACTACTAATTTTCTTCACAAGTAATAGAAAGAAAGTAATAAAAGTGACCGTGGAGTGATATCCTAGACATGGTCTTTGCTTTGAACAGAGACTAATTTCCTTCGGTTCTTCCATATTAGGGATTCGGGACAAACCATGATTGCTGAGTATAGTCTGAAATTCTCTGTCACTCTACAAATAAATGTTAGTCAATTATTGAAATAGTCAATAATTTTTTGAAGTGTCGGTAATTTCACATAAAAGACGGTCAACTCGTTGGTAGGATCCTGAAATAGATGCTGGTAAACAGAATAACTGGTATTTTTAAACAAATAAACATTGGTACATGGACTTAGAAAAGAGTTGTGATTTTATATAACATTTGGTAACTTCAACAGCGTTAATAAGCTGTTCAAATAAACATTGGTAAATTGTTGAAAACAATTGGTAATTTTGAAATAATCAAATAAATGTTGGTAACTGATTCAAATGAGAGTTGATAAGTTTATTTAGAAGATGTGGTAATTTTGAAAAAGATTGCAATTTCTCATAAAAGTCAATGATTTAATCCCCTAGCAAGCTCCCAAACAATATGTTGGTAAACTGCACAAATAGATGTTGTCAACTGACTCGAATAAGAGTCAGTTATTTTTTTTTTTGATAACCGAGGTATCCCACGTGCAATGGACTATTCCTCGGGGTGGTGGGGTATAAGACCAATGCCACCGGGTAAGCCCCCAAGATGTGATCGGCGGGAGTTGAACCTAGGACCTCATCAGTTTAACTGTTTGAGGCCAGGAACTCTCAACCACTCGACCAATCACCCCATTGGTAGAGTCAGTTATTTCATAACGGCAACATAAGCAAATAATTATTCGTTAATTATTGAAACAGTTAGTAATTTTGAAACATTCAAATGAAAGTTAATAAGTGAAATAAAAAAGAGTTGGTAATTTCAAATAACATTTAGTGGCTATAACACGCTGGTAAGATATCTATAAAAATGATTGTTAAGTTATTGGAATAGTTGGTAATTTCAAAACAATGAATAAAAGTTGTTAAGTGGGTAAACTCATATAAAAATTGGTAACTTAAGTTTCACAAGTAAATTTTGACAAATTATTGCACTAATTGAAAAGATTGTAATTTTGAATCACAATTAGTAAATTTAATGCATTAGAAAGAATATTGATAAATTATTGTAAAAGTTGGTACTTTTCAAACAATCAAATAAATGTTAGTCACAAAAAGTTGGTAATTTTATATAAGAGCTACTACGTTAGTACGGCTTAGTTTTGAAAATAAGCATTGTAGATTATTTGAATAGTTAATAAGAGTTAGTAATTTGGTTTAAGCATTAATTATGACATCCGGAAATTTCTACATTAATGTATAGTATGTAGGAAATGTATGCCATAAATATCAACGGTTGGAAATTCTAGTCAGATTTTAACGTGGTTGTAGCTGAAGACGGCCATTCCATTTTCCATGTCCGTAGTTTTCAGAAAGTGATTCCCTTAGGGTCAAATTAATGAATATTTATTTTTGGATTGATTATCTAGAGTAGTGATGAAGCATGTAACACCACATTGGTTATTAACGGAAACTGATACACTCCAAGTTTACATATCAGATGAGTGGTAGTTTGGGAATTTACTGAGTTGAGTCCCTCCTAACGTCCAGTAATTTTTGCTGAACATTTTGGTGGCTTCAAAATATTTTTCTGACTTATCAGTGTATAAGATGGATGCGGATTTTTTTGTTTAAGTACGAATTTCCTAGATATTTTGGCAACTTATCAAGATATCTAGTTTGGAACCATAAAGTTGAGCCATTTGTCACCTTCTAATTTGACTCATTCAATTTCAACCAAGTATTTTTAAACCAAGTCATTATTACTTTTAACCCTTGGTTAATTGTTCTTATCTTTTTGTACTTCACATAAGTTCTAAATATATCCCCCTTTGGTCTTGTAGTTTCATCTCTCTCTCTCTCTCTCTCTCTCTCTCTCTCTCTCTCTCTCTCTCTCTCTCTCTCTCTCTCGACTTTCCAAATCTTTCGAGTTAAAGCAAGAGTCTCACGTTAATATTTCTAAAGCTTCCAGTTCGATATTTCAAGAGTGTACCAGGTGAATTTTTGGGCTTCCTCTTCCATTTTATCAAACTAGTTTTGTTAAAAGATTTATAGCTAATAATCTTTGTTCTTGTTTAATTTGCTTTGAAGGTAATTAAAGCTTTGATTTTTGCTCAAGCCTTTTATTCGAGGTCAGTGAAACTCTAGAGATAAAGTTAGATTGATCTACCTGGTGCTTCTGACTTGGTTGTTTGATGGTTGTTAGTTTTAGTACGATCTTTGACGTTAAGTGTGAGAAAGTTTCGATGATTTCATGTTGATTTGTCATGCTTATTTGACTTGAATCGACTTCCCAAAAGACATGGCTGTATATTGGGTGAGAAAAGGGTAAAGACATAGAATTTGGACTTGAGACAGATATTCATGAAATTCTAACTAAGTGTTGCCCGACTAAATTAAATTGTTGTCAATTCATCGATTTTTATCGAGATACCAAACTCTGTTTTAAGTTGTTGATTTTCCAACTATTGTGTAAAATTTACCTTTTACCGATTCATGTTATTCCATTGATTTCGATCACCTCACTGATTTTAAATATTTTACCGATTTCTCATGCCAAACCGGTTTTTTGACCGATTTATCAATATTAACAAATTGGCTAATTATCATGATGTCAATTTTCAAAAGGCCGTTCCCAAAGTGGTCGATTTTTGATTACCCAATTCAAGTTGTCGATTTCTAACTTGTCTTTTTCTAACAATAACACTAAGTTATCAATTTACTAGTTAAGTGTTGTCGATTAATCTTGTGAATCAATTCTTCGAGTTGTCGATGTTCACGTCGTCGATTATTTGGTTTGTTGATGTTCACATTGCTAATTCTTTGGGTATGTTATCATTGCTTGCATGAGAAATGAGAAGAGTGTGTTCTTATTCTTATGTAAACGATGCATGGAAAAGACGTGGCGTTTGTATTTCGGTAATGATTTACATAAGATGATGTCGTGTACTGAATATTGATTTTGAGAATGGTTATGAAAGAAATAATAAATGGGTGTTGAATTCATTGTTGATGTAGGAAGATCCCAAGATTTGAATGTGCACTATTGTTTTGTGATTATATATGGAAAGTATTATGCCATGTTCCGTCGCCCATGTATTAGTGGGGGACGATGCCTCGGAGTTGAGAAGTCTCGTGTGTTGGGATGCCTGGAAGTGTTCCCGATGCCTTGGAGTAGACATGACCCTGTGTGTTGGGATGCCTTGGGAGTGTTCGAGATGCCTCAGAGTGGAGATGCCCCGTGTGTCGAAATTCCCGAAGTTGGGATGCCCCGGGAGTTGGGATGAAATGAGATGAAACAATGCATATGATGCTTGACTATGTGCACACGTGTCTATTAACGAACCAAATGTTGGTAACAATGGATCACAATACCTTATGCCATCTGCTTGCAATGAAGTGAATAATCTTATGCAGCATTGTTCATCGATTTCATTGGCATATGTGATGGGAAGAATAGTGCATTTATTCTTTCAATTGCCTCCTGGAATTGTTTTGTTCTCGTCTTGATTTAACATTGCTTGTGTTTACCAGGTTGAGTAGTGATGTGATCTTCTACCTTAGACTTAAAGATTTCAGTTACTGAGCTATGGCTTACCCTTTATTTTCAGATTTGTTGGATGGATCACTCTCCTTCACTATAGTTTGGAGTTACTGTCGAGGTGTGTACCTAAATCGGCGATAGTATATACTAAGCGTAGTCCCACTGTATGAGTCAACGGGGAGTTTGTTGGACTACTTAGCGATTTCGATGGTCCCCTTGGTTTCGATGGCCATTTGTTGGACTACTTAGGGATTTCAATGGTCCCCTTGGTTTTGATGGCAATGGTTTGTCGATGGGTGAGGTTATTGATCTATAGCAAATAACTTGACCTTTGTACAGGCAAGTTTTTGGGTGTAGGAGGTTGATAGGCGACCCCGACCTTTCCCAAGACTTATGTATTTGTGTCTTGCTTAGATGTTGTATAAAGATAGTATCTACTAATGTTTTATAAAGAAGAAGCATATGTAATACTAATTAAATTCATGTGATTTCGTGTAAGGGATATTGTGAAAATTTTTGAGCTTTTGTGAAAATTTTTGAGCTTTCGCATGCTATTAATAACTAGAAAGATAAAATTAGAAAGGCATGTGTCGCACATGATGTTATGAGGCGTCACATTAATTACTCGAACACATTGGTAATCTTTGCATATACACAATTGTAAGTTATTGGAATAGTTTTCAAAATAACTGAATGCAAGTTAGTAAGGACTCAATTAAGGGTTTGTATAGCTAAAATTAGTTGGTAAATCAATCGGAGCTAAGTTGGTAAAATACTCAAATTACAATTGGTAAATTTGCATAAGAGTTAGTAACTTTCACACAATGGCACAATCCGAAAATAAATAGTGCTAAATTGTGACAACGGTTAGTAATTTAAAATAATCAAATAAAAGTTGATAATTGACTCAAATAATATTTGCTAAGTTAAAATTAGTTGGTAACTTAGCATGAAAAATGTGACATTCTAAAATCCGACCCACTTGGGATTTACGAAATGAATAGTTTATGGACGTGCTTGTAGTTAGATCTCGCCCGGAATTGATCACTTCGGGAATACTAACCGTTAGGGAAAGGCTAATTAGGGATTTAAATTCGCGCGACCAAAGAACTCGATCGTGAACCGACTTTCGATCATGAAAATTGTCGAGATGACATTTTGAGCCAATGTACGCCGATCCAAGGATAACTAGGGATCAGTTTTGTCACGCCCCGCACCCTACGAGCGCGCGATCATCTCGCGATGGTCGATCATTGAATGCGACGTCCCAGACACGTCGCCGACCCAACCCAAACATCAGAGATT